AAAAAAATATGTATATACATATACAGTCAGCGTCAAAAATGTGAATACCCTGACGTTTTGACGATATTATTTATACATATATTCCATACATAACTGAGAATTATCTTCAAAGATTGAGATATCATGAAAATGAATTAGCTACTAATCTATTAGACAAAAGCGAAACATCAAGAAGATTAAAAAGATGTCATGTTCTAGATATACCATCTCGATTTCAAACTAGATTTTAAAAGTGAAATATTGTATAAATACCTAGTTTAGTTCTACTTGTATAATAGATAGTCTGGATGGAGAGTACCTATTGCTACTAATTAACTTTCAATTGTTATACAATTAGCTTATTGTCCAATAGATATACCATCTCGATTTTGAACAAGATATTAAAACAGAAATATTGTATATAGACCTAGATTTGTTATACTTGTATAATAGATAGTCTCACTGGAGATTATCTATTCCTGCTAATATATTTTTAATTGTTATACAATTCGCTTATTGTCCAATGGACAAATTGCAAATAAAAATTAAAAAAAGAAATGTTCCATACCAATTTTTTATTTTTTAATCAAAATATAGTTCATTCTACAGCAAAAGCCAACAGAATCAATTTTATATAGAAAAAAAATTCAAGAACCACCAAAAAAAGTTCATCAAAATTTTAAACTTTTCAAATCGATTTCTTTGAGAATTTTTTTTTTTCGCCAAGGGTTTATCGCGTTTTTTTTATGTGGGAGAAAATGTGCAACATCGTCGACAAAAAAAATCTCAGAAATCAACGGTAATTTTTATAGACTTGAAAATTGCACAATATTTTACTAACATTTTCTACAAAACTGCACACCTAAAATTTCTCTAAGAAATGGAATTGAAAAGCTGAAAATTTTTTTGGCATTCCTTGAATTTTCCCCGAGTTCTATATGAAGTTTAAAAAATTTATTCTGTTGGTTTTTGCTGTTGAACGAACTATATTTTTATAAAAAAAAAAAATGAAAAATTTTGTATAGAAAACGTAAATAAAGAAACGTATATACACTTGTGGTCAGCTGATTAAGTCGAGTGACATTTTGACTAGTTTTGGCTAATATTCTTTTGTCTGTTTAATGTTAATATTTTTTATAAATTTTTACACATTTCCACATTTCAAACTTCGTACAAAAATTATTAAAATTCGAAAAACTTTAACATATGCACCCAAAAATTTTAAACTTTTTATTTAGAATTTTTAGAAAAATTTTGGGTATGCAGTTTTGTAGCACATTCAATTTTAGTAGGTTGAAGTGCAAGTTTCAAGACGTCAGAAAATCGCAAGTAATCCCGGGACTTTCGGGATTTGTAATTTACACTGATGCCAATAATAGAAACTCTTATTCTTGACCAGTATTGGCTATATTTCTTTTTTATTTAATAATCAATATTTTTTTATAAATGTCTAGCTCATTATACATATAACACCGCGCGATAGTAAATTCCAAACTCAAATATAAATATATTCGCGAAACCATGGGCCAAATATAGTAAAATTGCGTATTTGGTTTTTCACTCTGACATCAGTAATTCAAAAATGATTTAAACAATATAGAGACATGTGCTTAGAGAAGAAGTATGGGTATAAAATTAATGAGGAAATCCTGTAGAATTTAAGCAGATTCAAGTTTCTAGTGCAGAAGGGCTGGTAAATATTGAAAATGTCATTTTAAAATTTTATACTTGAAATTTCGCAATATTTATTTGTTTTTGAAAAAATATATGTTAAGGACTTGTATAAACTTCGATAACATCCTCGAATTTCGTTCTTCTAACTTTGCCAGCTTAAAAATTACCTATTCGTCCTTGTAAATCCAAAAAATTTAAATTTTTTAAATTTCCTATTGCATTTGTGGCCTATATTTTTATTCTAAATTGCGTTGATTTTTTTAATAATCTTTGGAATTAATCATATCTTTGAAATCTTTCAAGTTGTTGAAAAGTAATAAATATCTGAATCCCGGAATCCCGAGATGGTGACAACGCCATCCCGAAAATCCCGGAATCGGAAAAAGCCGAAAAATTAACATCCCTATGCCAGGCATTTTCTCCAAAGCAAAGGAAATTATCGAGCATATTTTATATGGAAGAAATTGCACAACACCGTCAGCCGACTGATTTAAATTTTAAAATAAACGGCTCATATGAATATATATGTATGTGTATGCAGAAATCAGTGTAATTGGGCTTGACTCCGTACTTCTCGGACTAAATCTATTAAAACGCTCAAATAAAACAAATGTGCCAGTATAGGATCGACGTCAAGTAAAATAATGTAAAAAACGGTAAGTCTAGACTGAGTGCGGGATCAGGAATGTTAGGTGCGTTTTTGTACACACTATCCAGTAAAAACCAGTAACAATTGTTACGAGTTTCCATATTTTGGTATTTTCGTACGCAAAAACTTGAAAGAAGGCGAAATTGAGGGGGCCAAATTTTGGAAGAAAGTTGCAAGTTTTTACTGAACAAAATTTTACTTTAAAATTTTACCAGTAAGAAACAAAGTTTTTTACGTGCTACTTCTTGCATTCTACACAAGAGAGGCATATATTTTTGGAATCGTAAGACAAAAATCGTAAAAAAATGGTCATCTTATTGCCTTTTTATAACAATTTTTAAAAAAGAATAAACAGTGAGTTAGGTATTCGCAAATTACTTTTATTTGCAAATAGCTCACGTATAAACATAGTAATTTGCTACGCGATAAAAACCTAAGCCCCACGCCCTTCGCTGTGACCAAGCGTGGTATTTTGAAGATTAATTTTCTTTATTATTAAATGTGCAATACATTAATCAACATAATGAAAGCTTAACACTTAGCACTTATTATCATCATTGAGTATAAGTTTATAAAATTGTAAACTGGTATGTTATGCTTTTTCCAATTCAAATTGCTTTAAATTAAATATTCAACGGTACAGAGTTTCGAAAAAGCACTACATACTGATACTTAAAGAGTACACAAATGCAATTATTTTAAAATTATATTTTGATAACAGTTTAACGCGAACTCATTGCATGCCGTCCATCGTCCACTGGCAGAGTAGCACCATTAATAGATTTCGCCATATTGCTTGCCAAAAATGCAATTACTCCTGCCACTTCTTCCGCAAAGCCCTCACGTGCGGTGGAATGTATCATCTTAGACTGTTCCAATGCGATTTCATATGTCTCATCATCCATACTATCACTTTTTTGAATATCTGTTATGATAACGGCGGGATTGACCGAATTGCAGCGCACCCCTTTCGGCTGTAATTCTAGTGCTATGCAACGTGTGAATTGATCCAAAGCCGCTTTGGAGATATTATAAGTGAGTATGCCGGGCATCGAGCGTATGCCATTTACGCTCGACACATTCACAATACAGCCCTTAGTGTCGATCAGATGCGGCACTGCCGACGAAGTTAACTGAAAAACGGAGCGCATATTTATATCCATTACACGATCGTATTGATCCATAGTAGTTGTTTCAATATTGCCTATCTCAACGACGGACGCACTGTTGACAAGCACATCGATGCGTCCATAAGTGGCCATTGTTTTGTCAACAATATGGCGCACTTCCTTTTCTTTTGTCATATCTGCATGCACTATCAGCGGCGAATGATCATGTACATCAATGACCTTGTCGGCCACCTCACGCAAACTGTCCTCACTATGACCGACAACAGTAAGTAGGCCGCCCCACTTGGCGAACTCCATAGCGGTGGCAGCTCCAATACTAGAATTGACACCTGTGATAATTATAACTTTGTTTTTGAAATCCAGTGGAGATGGTGGCGGTGGAATCACCACTGGCTCTTGTAAATCAATTGAGTGATTAAATTCTATAGGAAACATACTGAACAATTATGAATTCAATAGCAAATAATAAAAANATTATAACTTTGTTTTTGAAATCCAGTGGAGATGGTGGCGGTGGAATCACAACTGGCTCTTGTAAATCAATTGAGTGATTAAATTCTATAGGAAACATACTGAACAATTATGAATTCAATAGCAAATAATAAAATGCCACACAATACAAGACAATGAGCAACGAAAGCTGTAGGCTATAGACTGAACAGCTTTAAGAGACATGATCTCGTTAGGTCTATCAAATCAGCTGCATATTAATGTTGCTCCTTTGTCTAGCTGTACAAACAGACAAAATTAAAGCAAGGCAAATGATGTGCACTATGTATGTATGTACATATGTATGTAACGTTTCTCAGTGGTTTCCACTCTCACACCAGCTGGAAAGTTCTCTTAGCCTTCAGTGATGTGGTTATTGGTGCTAGACCAAAAATATAAATATGTACATTAGGGCGGGGTAATTTGCTCTGAGCAAATTTTACGAAGAAAGTGTATAGCGAATTCAAATTCAATGATTAATTAATAATAACATTAATAATCCCAACGGTTTTTACCCTCCATTCCCGCCCATCCGCACGAGGGGCGCAGTCCGCATGACGTACGGAACCAGTATTTTCAATTTTGCGCCGAGTCACGATAGGCAGGAGTTTGTTAAGTGTCGAGATCTAAAACTGTTCAGCTACAGAACTAAATTCATCAGCTAATTTTATGTCTTTATGTTAACAATTCATTTATTGAGAGAGGAGAGTGCCGCCTTCTTAATGACTGAAAAGCGGATCTGGCATATCAAACGTGCCGGAATGAAAGTTAAAATCCTGGCATAAGCAACGGAGTGGGTCGTGCAATTCAAAATTAATTTTATAAGCTTCCAGAAATAGGGGAGCGAACATTAAAGCTAACTTCACCCAGAAGAAGCGGACTTGAATTTGAGCCTGTCAGTAATTTATCTATAAAAATTGTACCAAGCATTTGCCTGCGACTGGCAAGTGTAGGAAGATTAATAAGTTTTAATCGGCTCGTATAAGGTGGAAGGTTATATTGAGAATCCCAACGGAAATTTCTTAAAGTAAAAAGTAGGAATTGTTTTTGAATTGATTTTATCTTGTCTGAGTAAATTTGATACCTGGGATTTCAAATCACCGAACTGTATTCCAGTGATATAAGGATCACAAAATTCTTTTGACCATCGTTTCACAAATGCAAGTACACCTTTAGCCTTGTTGACTGTCACATTAATGTGAAGATTAAAATTAAGCTTAGGATCCATTGTGATACCAAGGTCCACAAAATTGTTTACCTGTTTCAGGTTATGGTTACCTATTGTGTTCTAAGCAAAAAATGCGAACAATCTATAATCCAAAAATTCCAATGAACATTGGGCTTGGTTAACAATTCGAAAACAATTTAAAAACTAATCTTTTTTTCAAGTCTAACCTTTGATAGCGAATGTGGAATAAGTTAGTATTCGATTCGAGAGCTACGTCATTCTCCAGCAGAACGGAACCTTCTTAATCCAATGTATTTTCCCTTCGTTATGAATTCGAAATACAGCACATTATCGATTTAAAATATTAATGAGCGAAATATTGAGAGCGATTATCTTATATATATTGCCATTCGAGAATGAGCTGGATTTCACTTTCTCTCTTGTTACTATGGTTATAATTTTTTGTCGAGCCCATTTCGAGTATATTTCCAATATACTATGAACGTTGGAAATCTTAGGTTGGTTGTGAGTTCGTTCTCAGTTCGATATTCATATTGGATATCGAAGATCATTTTCGAACGATCGCCAAATTGTATATATTTGGTTATTTTCCATTGTACCAAAATTTGTTTGTGTTTTCTCGGTTTTGCGAAGTAGTTTCTTAAATATGAAGAAAACGCAAAATTTTGTAAACGAAAAATTAATTTAGTTCAGAAAAAGTTATAATAAACTTTTATCGAAATTAAATTACTCCGCACTAATGTACATACGCAAATCGCGAATCAGTCGAAAGCAACGAAATCGACAAAGTAAGTTGGGAACCACTTAAAATCAAATATGTTAGTATGTATATACATCGCATATTTACTAAAAGACATCACAAGTCAAAGAAATGAATTTTTGAGCAGATGATGCGGAATTACTGCTTATAAAACATTTTTCACATTGTATGTTAAAATTCCATGCAGAAATCTTGAGTAGTTACCGCTTGAAAAGAGAATATGTACCTCTGTTCACTGCATTTTATGT